CTTCTCCATGCCCTCCAAAGCATGCCGGTACGTGACCTCCATTTCTTCATACTTTTTCTGGTTTAGAAGAGTCGTGGATGTGCTGTTAGCATCCAGTGGGATGTCTGGGTGAGATGATCGAATTTTCATCTCACTACTCACTGGTCCGCGTCGGTGTTCCGTGTCCGCTGTCTCTTTCTTTTCCTGGATATGTTCTTCGCGATCAGTGGCGGCAAGCCCCGGCCGGGTACCGTGACCGCCCGACCCAAGCGACTCCCCTCTCCCTTCTACAATCTGGTACTGCGTAACTTTAGCTCCCTCGTTATTTTTCCGATCCCGCAGAAACAGAGTTAAATTATGAATGCTCTCTAGGGTGTCAGGATGTTGCGGCCCAAGTGTCTTCTCTCTTCCCGCCAATGCACGTCGATACATAATCTCCGCTTCATCGTGCTTTTCCTGGCTATGAAACAGGTCGGCTAAACAATCAACACTTGATAAGGTATCGGGATGATCTGGCCCAAATGTCTTCTCTCTGCCCGCTAATGCATGTCGAAGCCTAATCTCCGCCTCGTCGTGCTTTTGCTGGACATGCAGCGCCATGCCTAGGCCGTTCACGCTTCGTAAAATCTCTGGAAGGTCTGGTCCTAGTGTCTTCTTCCCATCCGCCAATGCACGTCGATATATAACCTCCGCTTCGTCGTGCTTTCCCTGGTTGTGCAGCGCAGCACCTAGATTGTTCAGGCCTTGCAAGATATGTGGATGACCTGGCCCAAGTACCTTCTCTCTACTCGCCAATACACGCCGACACATAAGCTCAGCTTCACGGTGCTCTCCCCGGCAATACAGCGCCATGCCTAGGCCGCTCACACTCAATAAGGTCTCTGGATGGCTCGGCCCAAGTGTCCTCTCTCTGCCCGACAATGCACATCGATACAGAATCCCCGCATCGCCGTGCCTTCCCAGGCTGCACAGCACCGCACCTAGACGGTTCTCGCTCTGCAAGGTATCTGGATGATATAGCCCAAGCGTCTTCTCTCTGCCCGCTAATGCACGTTGATACAGAATCTCTGCTTCGTCGTTCTTTCCCTGTTCATGCAGCGTCATTCCCAGGTTGTTCATGCAAGATAAGGTATCGGGATGGTCTAGCCCAACTGTCTTCTCCCTACTCGCCAATGCACGTCGACACATACTCTCTGCTTTGCCGTACTTTCCCTGACAATGCAACACCTCAGCCAAATTTTTGACACTCAGCAAGGTATCCGGATTGTTCCTCCCAAGTCTCTTCTCTTTGCCTGCCAATGCACGCCTATGCAACATCTCCGCCTCGTCGCGCTTCTGTTGATCATGCGGCATCACTCCTAGATTACCAACACTTTATAGGGTATGTTGACCAGCGAGCGGGATCTTCCTTCCGACCACCACCGCGTGCTTAAAATAATCTTTGAATTATTTCAAACCCTCCGGACTACTCGGGCGCAGCTGTTTGGGTCCGGGTTCGCCCTCTATTGCTATGAGCAAACTGAACTCCTGGCTAGAGTTGAATTCGTCGTCTTGAAAATCACTGTCCCCTTCTATTCGCTGGGTCACAGGTGATTTATTTCGTTATAATACCGGTAGACCCTGAGCACGGTTGCGAAATATCCTTGCGAAACCTCTAACCCTCGGTAACGCGTTAGTTCTATCCCTTAGACCGTTGGTCACGGACCAAAGGCTACTGCAACTGCTTTCGCAAGGACCACACTTACCCCGCTTTAACACTTAGTCTACTTCGCGGGCCGCCCTGTTCGTTCTCTCAACCTCCCTTCTTGCAGCGCCTGCTCTCTTTTCCACCGACAGCTTTCTGCTTAACTAAATGTCTAATGGGGTTACAACCCACCAGCGCCCAATATCAGACATGAGCAAGTATATATTGATAATGGGGCCAAACCTGTGAAATAAAGAAAATCCGTGATGCTTCACGAATAATACGAGGTGTTAGACTTCTCGTAGACAGAGTTCAATGAGTCCGAAAATGGTTGGGAGGAATCAAGATGGGCCATTTTCGACCCACCAGGGGCGAGCCCGACAGGTTATGTGAATCAATACGAGTAAACCAATCAGGGAGGTAGTTCTTGGCCCACCGTATTAACCCAACAAATGCAGTACCGGTACGGCAGCCCCTTGACAGGGTTCTCTCGCTTGGGACAAGCAAGCTAACAGGGGCCGGAGGCTTCTTGACAACAGCTAAATCAAACTTCCATTCCTTTTTCTGTCCACCATTATTAGGCTTTCTGGGAAGCATTGTTTGGGCTGATATTAGAACCCTGCACCAATCGTATGGCTTACTATTCGAGTCTTTTTCCTTTAATCTGTCTCAGTTGGAAATTCTGGACTCCTTAGCTCGAGGTTCAATTGTTGAGTGCCATACCCATGCTATTCAACATCAATTACTCAAGTTCTTGCAGTATTGTCGGACACCTAGATGGATCCACGGTGGGCGACATGGATATATGTTGATGAGTCGTGTTGTTTCCGCCTCACGAATTCATTAGCACTTATCGTAAAAAAATTTTAAGCCGCGACGATTGCGACGATTAGTAATGCTATCATACATAAAGGAATTGGTTTCGTTAATTCTCCATTACTTTTGGACGGGTTGAGTGTGTTTAAAATCAGCCATTCTTAGTGCAAAGTGCGGGGGTGTCAGCTAATTTGAAGCTAGCCTCGTACAAGTACAGTACAGTGCAAGGGGGTCTACTTGTATATATAGAGGCCTATTGACAACGCCACAAAGGCTGTCAACGCAAACGCACTCTGTTGCAATGTGACCACCGCGGCCTCCACGCTGACAGTAGTAGCCTGAGTATCGCACTGCCAGCATAACAATTTACCACACACTCAACACCTAGTACGGCCCATCAATCCGCACCCAAATGGGAATATCGCCAGAACAAGCGCAAGATTATGCACAAGTGCTACCCATTGCGCAGATAACCCGATCCCGGGCTTTCGTACCGATACTTCTCATTAAATCCCAACCACGATAAGTTACCGCTCGCCGAGCGAATACCTTGACCCGTCACGCCCGGCCAGGAGAATCTCGTAGATGCCCTAGAGAGGTTATCATCCTAGAAGTGAATGCTCAGTTGAGACGCCCAGCGCAGTCACTTCCGCCCCAAAACATCCTTTTCCCAACTTTTACAAGCTCTGTAATCTAAACAAGAAATATAAGGCACACGCCACTATTTTCACCCTATACTACAAATCTTATATCAAGACTGGTCCAAAAAAAAAAAAAAAAACTTGATCACTCAACCTCCCCGTCCACATCCATACCCCCCATATATTCCACCAACCCCCCCCCCCCCCAAAACCATCTTTGGAAAAACCACAAACACCACCCTATTATCCTTTCCTTTTTCCTCCCCCTTTAAAAAAAACCCCCCCCCCCCACAACACCAGCAACCTCACCGCACCCACTTACTCATCTTCCATCCGCCACCATACTAAACTGCTATACCGGAGGCAGAAAGCTTCGCGGCGGCGCTGTGTGGTTCAGTGCGTACCGGAACAGGAGCCCAGTGAGTGGATGGACGGCGAAAGGCCCGGCTCCCAGGCGAACCGATATCCTGAGCCAGCCGGGCAAGATTTTTTTTTTTGAAAACTCCAAACAGCGAGTGATTTTCCATGCCCGTGTGGTAAAAGAAAAGAGCATTCTGCAACGCTTCTGGACATAGAGAAGATACTCAGCAGTGCACCAGTACTCCCCAGATCATCCGGGTGTTTCTCGTAGTGGCTTGTATCTCGAAATGAACAGCAGGAACAGGTTCCGGCTGGTATTGTACTGTACGTATAGACTTTCCGGCGTGATCAATCCCTCCCCGCCTAACTCCTACGGAAGTTTATATAATAATCCACCCCTGGCTACCGAAGACCGACCGACCCCCCTGACTTCAATGGCCCGGCCACTTCAGGTTAATCCCGGTACCCGACCAGCCACCAAAACAACTCTCATCGGATCACAAAGCAGTAGCCCTTAACACACCCTCAAAAGAGGAGAAGAAGAAGGAAAAAACCCGAAAACAAGAATAAACCAGAAGAATACCCCCCCCCCACTTCCCCAGAATAGGATCCAAAGACATCACACACTATCATACATACCAATGCGATTCAGAACCCTTTTTATTCATCACACCCCAAGGGTAAACCATCAACGCTTAAATTAACTTAACCCGCACCCACTCATCACGACGACAACCGACCCCGCCGGCGACCCGGCGGGCTTATCAACGATATCTAATCTTGTGTGCCGTAAGCCTGCGTGGTACCCGATTCCTATCACAAGTTGCTCCAGACGTAGACGATGGGGGGGAACCCTGCAAGGGTGGTATGGTAGTAGGAGTGGAGAGAACCGTCAGGAAGTGAATGTAGAGAGTACAGATGCCATTCTTAGACTAAAGTTATCGAATCATAGCCTCCCTTGTATTATATACCTTAGGAACTGTGCCTGCCAACGAACAAACAAGAGGATAAGAAAAAATTTTTAATTGGCTGTTCTTAGATATGCCTCCAGGGATACTGTAAACTCTTAGCAACAATTTGTTTTTTCGCCGGATATTTGGAGAGAGGGGGTGGGCTAGCAAAGCTTTTTCTAAGGGCGTGCTGGGTACGAGAACTTTGCGAATGGAGCTGGTACTAGTCTAGCTGTCGGATGATATTCACGAATTATCACTCGGTCGTGGCGGTGGGGCATGGGTAGATACGGTACTATGAGCGCTCATGACTCGCTGGATAGCCAGCTAAACTCCTCTATTATGGACAGCGGTAGCGTACAACTCCCCCACTATTTCCATGCGATAGTTATCTCGAGAGATACTCCGCACACATGCATTATGCTCTTCCATCCCCCAGACTGACCTGGAGAACTTCGCACTTCGCAAAACTGTGACAAAGACAGAAATGTAGAAACAAGGAGCCACCAGACATTACATGCGTACACAAAGCTCGGAATATTGTTACATGAACGGAAGAGAAAGGGGTGGGATAAAATACAAAGCAAGGTGAAGGAAATTAAAGTAAAGTAGAGTAAAGTATCACAACGCCTGCCAGGCCCCCCCATACAAAGTAAAGTAAATCCCAGTCAAACCTCCAGCCAACCGACAATGCAAGCCCCCTTTCCACTCGATGCACAAGAGTAAAACAAAGCAAAAACAAATCACTGCAGAATAAAGCGAGCCGGGCCAAACCGTAAATCGTAAAAAACCCAACTCCCCCTGCTCACCCACAGACAGCCTTCCACAGCTCCCTCGCCTCCTTAACATACATAAACGTAACGCCCAACATCTGCACCTCATAGTACACATCCCGCAGGGAAATGACGCCCGCACGCAAAAGACTCTGCACGAACAGACACAACAGCTGCACCTGCCGTGCCTGCGCCCTCTTCCCGCTACCGCCATCGCGGTACTCGCCGTCGAGCATTTCCTCCGCCGAGCGCGTCCCGTTTGATAGAAAGTTATGTATTAGAAGGTTTGTCTCATCCTCTGTGAGGGCCGAGGTTTGGGTGATAAGGATATTTATGGTTTCCAGGGCGTTGAGGGTAGGGGTTAGGAAGGAGAGGCCTGAGAGGATTTCTTGGCGACGGTGGGAGTTAGAGGGCGATGGTGGGGTAGTGGTGGTAATGGGCGAGGAGAGGAGAAGAAGGAGGATTCCTCGGGCCAAGACTGGGTTGTTGGATATCAGGCTAGCGAGGGTAGGAGTCGAGAGAAAGTCCAGTGGGTATGTGGTTAGAAGAGACGGTGTAGATTTTAGCGTCGCGAGTAGGGAGCTTACGACGTTCGGGCGGAGCTCTTCCGACATGGCCCTGACGAGGAAGGCTGAGACTTCGGCCGCTGTGTCTTGGGCAAGTGGTGAAGGACGTCCGTTCGATGGTGTTTGCACGCCGGACGTAAGCCCACTAGCAGAGGAACATCCACTCCCACCAACACTCGCTCCGGCCTCGTCAATACCCAACTCCCGCCTATTTTGCCCTTTCTTGGCACCTCCATCGCCTCCCCTGAGGTTGTTCTTCCCCTCCATCGGCGCATCGTAAATCCCCTGCTCGCGCAAAGCCTCCGTAAAAGATTCCACATCAACCACAAACTCCAAGCCCCGACCGGCAAACTCATGCGGCGAAAGCCCTGCCAGCCTATCCCCATGTTCGCCCAGAATCCCCTTGACAAACGCAACCCGAATCCTCAGTACCTCCTCGCGAATGCCCGATCCTGCGCCCCGGCCATCGCCCTGCTGCATCTGCTTCTGCCTCTCCACCGCTTCGTAGTCCCGACAAACATCCACCCAATGCGAGAGCGACGGGTTCATGCGCAGTCCGTATATCCGGTACGCCTCAAAAAGGACGAATTCCGCGTTTAGCATGAAGCCCAGGTATTCCCGAGCGCTACTTCGAGCAAAGTCGTGGCCGCTGGCGATTCTGGTACCGAGAATTTGCATGAGGGCGACGATGGGCTCGGGGACGGTCGAGAGGATTTCCAGGGTGTTGTGGAGCTCGCAGACACGCGTGAAGGCATTTTCTCGGACGGTGGGAATGCTGAGGAAGGCATTCGCAGTTTTCTGAAACGGGTCGGTGAAGATTGTCAAGGCGCGGACCAGTTCGGCGGGTAATGGGTCGGTTGAGAGGAGCATTTTTGTGGTGCAGCGCGGTTTAGGTGAGTACCGGTAGATGTGGGGAAACTGAATTGGCTGGGCTGGTTGGTGGATTGGCTATGTGTGAAAGAGGTGGAGAATAATTGGTGTGGAAATTCTATGGAGTGGTAGGTGGCTTGGCCCACCCTTATCCCGATAAGAACGAGCGGGAAAGCAACCGGATTTGCGGCTGACCACGCGTTGTGAACCGTGAATATTGCAAGTTATCGTGTGGAGGGGTGGGAAAGTGTAGAAGGGAGCGAAGGAAAGAGGGGATATAAGGCGAAAGAATTAAAGCACCTCTAGATATAAGCTCTCCGTTAGGGCAGCTGTTGATGGTGGGGCAGGAAACGGAAGAAGGTGTAAACTTCAGCACAAGCAAGACCTACGATACCTTGCTATGCGCCTCCCTGTGCTCACCCGAGCCTAAACCCCGCGTGCATTCCCCACAAGGTAGCAAGCCACATCATCTCAATTACCCCAACCGATTTACGATACCGCTTCAAAAGTGCACAATTTTGTCAACCCGGGAGAAATATTTGCAAATTTCAGGTCATCGCTATCATGATATTGTAGTCATACAAACAGGGAGAAGAGAAAAAAGGGGAAGAAAAACGAATACCAAACCAAGCCGAAAAAAAGACCCATGCTCGCAACTACAAAAGAGAGAGAGAAGGAGAGAGCCCGACATTTTTGGCCCGAAACACTCCTCATGTAAAGACCGACCGGCAGACAATGACCGCCCTCCCAGACGGTATCAATTCAAGAATTACCATATCTTTTCCACTGACCGACGTTGTTTGTGCTCGAGGAAATAAGGATCGTGGGGGTTTCGCGTCTCTCTAGTACCTAAATATAATGTATCTGGTGGGTAGGAATTAGCAACCGCGACGCTCCAAAAAGGACTCGAAAGGAGAGAGAGAAGCTCACAGGGCGTGAATGATGCCAGGCAAGTAACCCAAGCAGGTGAAAATAATATTGATCAATAGATCACCGCTGCATCCCCTCTCCAGAAAGACACCAAGAGGAGGAAGAAGGATAGCGAGAAGGATCTTGCAAACATCACTAAAAAAACAAACAATTAGCATTGTTCAACCCAACCTCCCCGAACCCCCAAAGCTCCCCCCCCTCCCCTCCCCTCCCCTCCGGTAAGCAGGAAGAAACTAACCTGGCGGTGAAAGGCATGATGGTGTTTGTTGTGGTTGTGGTTGTGATTGTGGTTGTGGTTGGTTGGTTGGTCGTAGCAGTAGTTTGTAAGCTTAAGCGGTTCGATGCTGGTTTCGATAAAATGTCAAGTTTGTTCAAGGAGCAAAGCTGTACTGGGTATCACGTATCGCTGAAACGAATGAGAGAGGAAAGGGGGGATGGGACACCCAGGCCTTTTATTTGTAGTGCTCAAGGGAAATGGGAAGGAAAAGAAAAGGGTGGGCTCGCACAAAAAAAAAAAACTTCTCGAGACCAAACGTCATACTCGTAGATACTTGTACGAGTACTGTGCCCACCCGCCACCGAATTTCAAGCCCGGTTATCCCGGTGCGATGTGGCTGGTGCAGGGCGGGTTCGTCATCCAGGAATAAGTTACGTCATGGTTCACTGAACTCCTCCATTATGCATTCATTTGCAAACTTCCACCCCCAAGATTCCTCATCGCCGCAGCGCTTCGCCCTTGAATCCTTTTACGGGGGAGGGGGTTGAGAAATCGCCCCCCCATCTACTCGCCGCTAACCTAACAGTGCTCTACGGGTAACCTGACTCTTCGCATCTTGTCTCTATCATACCATTGGGCACATTACACCTCGTGATGGTCGATGGCCTTCAACCACCCGTTGACCCGGAGGCAGCTCCAGTTCAATAGGCAAAACTTGGTTGGACCTGGCTCCAGGAGAGCACTCGTACCGATACCATACATGCTGTACGAGTACAGTACATGCAAGCAAAAGAGACACCCTATCCAGAACTTGGCAATAAAAGACGCGTAATCCCCCCCTCCAAAACAAAAAAAAAAAAAAGTGGCCATCATGTTCAGATTCTGTGGTGGCATAGGGAGAGAGAGAAAGGACTAATGAGAAAAAAAATTACCGGGTATGATACCATGTCGAAGCCTTGTGCTTTCCGCCGGTGCCAATACATAGTTTTACTCAAGTACTCGAGTAAATTACTGTACTGTACCATCTGTCTGTTGAATGATACTTGTACGAGTATGTCAACAAGTAGCCTGTGGTCTGCTCGTAAAGTAGGGTGCTACCGCCAGTATCACATCATACCGGCACCTATGCCAGTAGACTATAGCACCTTCAGTCAAATGGATCTTTCACCCCACTGCTCGAGTAGATGGGATCGCGATGCACCAATGTAGTAGACTAGTACAAGTACAGTACTGTACAGCACGGTAACCTGGCGTATAAGGTGAGAACACACATACAATCCTCCTCAGGAGCCGAGTCTACCGTACTACACTGCACCCTGCCGCAGTCTACCGTTGCTCGCACCAATGCAGGGGGAATCAGGCCGACAAGTTCTTATCCGCACACGAACATCTCCGATGCAAGTAATAACCGTGCGGTTCCGCACCGAGCACCTCACACCACCCACAGTATCCGTGGGGAGTAGAGCAGAGTAACCCAAAGCACAAATTGGGAATTGCCGGGACTGTAACGTGCTAGACGGGCCCTTGATTCCCGATTCAGAGTGTTTGATGTTGCTCGTATGTACAGTACAGGACACGGGGGAACAAATGGCCTTAGAGGTTTCAGTACCATAACAGCAGACAGTACAGTACCGTACTTGTACTGTACATGTACCAGTACCCGTGAAGCTCCAACGGCGGAGGCTTGCCAAGCAATGTACTGTACGATACGAGTACCGTACTCGTAGCGGAGTGTCCGTCCGAGCTGTGTGTGTGTGGCGAGTGAGACTCGCCACGGTAGATCCTTGGGTGGGGAGGCATCATGCGAGTATGGTGAAAGAGAATCGCGATAAGATCAACTTGGGCCATCTGGTCGGATTGAATGTTCACTTACGATACTCGCGCTGTGCAGTATTGCCACACTATCACTGCCCGCCCTGCCCCGCCCTTTCCTGCGTAGGCACCGAGCACAAGCCGCCAAGCTCTTGTAAGTTAATCCACTCGAGCAAGGTGGACGACCGCTCTTCCATGAATGCCATCGACAATCCCGCGGCAGTGACAACAATTCAGCATATCGAGCCTTGGCTCGACGCTGGCTCAACGCTGGACCAAGACCCTGGTTGCCCGGTCGGGCTTTCTCCAAACCGGCTATCATGAGGCCATCGTCCCTGCAGATTGTATGCACTCGTAACTCAAGTTATTTGTGCTCGAGTAAAACCATTTTACTACCCGATACCGCTCACTCGGGAGATCGGCAGGCTGGCCCCATGGAGACAGATGCTGAGGCTCAAACCAATCGTTGGGGGTTACGCCAAGTGGGAATCGAATCAACCTAATAAACTCTTGGCAATCAAATATCCTCACTGCGAAATCGTTCACCGCTAGCAGCAGGCCATCAAATGCTCGGCAAATCACAGAACCCACCCAACATCCGATGTTTGTCACATCACAAATGAAACATACTGTATCATATTATAGCACTCGACTTCCACCCCGACCAGCGCGCCATCACCCGGAAATGCGGTCCACCCTCCCCCCCAAACACTTGTCTTCACCCGCGATCTCAATTGACAGGGATGTGAACCCCTGTTCCTCCTCCTTCTCCAAAATCTAATTTCCGCGACCGAATATTCTAACCATCCATTCATTCGTTCATCCATTCACCCCTGATCTGCAAACAAACCTTCAACTAAGGTGCACCTTCTCCCTTTTTCTCTCACGCGAGCCACTTGCACGAAATACGGATACAGACTGGAAATGAAATTCCACACTCTGACCATCCCGTTAACATTATCTCTACTACCCCTGACGTGGGCACAAGGTCTCGGTGGCGGCATGCAGACGACCGCGCCTACAGACGCTCCTGTCGAGCCTACCAAAGTCTTGTGAACCCCCCCCTCCATCCCCTCCCCTTCTCCGCCGGTGCTAACCATTGCTAGGATGCCATCAACCCTCGCCGACGGCCTCGTCACAAAAGTCGCCTCGATATACACCCAGCAATTCACAGGCACCCAGAGCGAGTTGCGTACGCCCAGCGCTGGCACCATAGGCTTAGGAACGCTTACCGGGAGTGTGGGGGTTGTTAGGACTGCTGAGGCGAATTCTGCAGTGGGGAGGACAAGGGCGCGGGGAGGGGCGGAGGAGGGGTGGGCTCTGAGGGTGGTGGTTGGGGTTGGGGTTTTCGGGGTTGTGGTTGGGGGATTGATTCTTTAGGGAGGGCGTAGGTATTCGGGATGGAAGGAGTTGTATTGTATGGGATGGGAGTTTTCGGGGGGGATCGGTTATCAAGGCTGTTGGTATAGTAGCTTGTTTCGGCTTATTGGTGTTTTTTTTCCTCTTTCGTTCTCCCGTTATATCAATCGTAGCTATAGATCTTGTTTCTTTTCCACTTCAGGGGAGAGAGAGGGAGAGATGTAAAATATGAAATAAAACGCCGTCCATCTTCGAGAACTAGCAGCTCAACATTACCTAAGCAAGGAGTTTCAAGGAGATGTAAGGAACTTGAATTGGGAATTTATCCTATTTCATATGATAGCATGGTAAGAACAAGAAATGACTTATTCCGCATAGCTGCCCTGCCCCGCCCCGCACCACACTGCACTTGATACTATGCAAGGGGCACTTGACAGCAACCATTAATCTAAATTACATTACAGTACTGTAAATACATTGCAAACCACCACTCACTCTCGATAGGTTTTCCAGTTTGAACGCCCCATTCCAAATTCATTGCGGTCTGGAAAGTGGTGGGTAGACATGCATAGGTTGGTATGATGGATTATGTCCTATTTTTGGCCCGAAAAAACCCCATCCATCTACCCCAGTTTTTCTTTTCTTTCTTTGCCACTGAGATGCATCTTGATTACTTTACGACGCCATAATATTATATCCCTGACGAAGTCCCGAGCCCAAGCCCCTGGAGGATATATAAGTTAGAGCTATCACAGCACTGCATTACAGGTTACTGGTGCGTAGGCTGCCCTATCGTGAGAAAAAAGTAGCACAGAATGGCAAATTGCTTTCTTTCCTTCCTTTCTTTCTTCTCGTATGTACGAAAGTCTATGACGAATTCACGAGGCTTACCGTGTGTATGATGCCATCTTATCAATATACAAGTACTGTACAGTACCTGCCCGTAGATATCTCCAGAAGCGCGTGAATTAGGATAATTGAAACACCCCCATGATAGCAGCACTGGCACCCCCCCCCTCTCAACCGACAGGTGATATAGTCTAACCCCACCATGTCGTGCACGGTGTAACGCGACCAGCTCCCAACCTTTTTCCCAAAACTTAAAAATAATTCAGATCCATGCGTACAGTACAGTACAGCGCAGTAGACTATCATACTGCGCGCACTTCTGGTAACCCCTCGAAGATGTTACGGTTACTACTCGTATCATATGACAAATAAGGATAGAGCCTACTCCCGTAGATCCCGAGGGTTTTTGGGAGAAAAGAAAAAAACAATTCATTGGTATCGTAATATCCCTTTGGGTGCTGCGGAGATCTCGTACGTGGGGGGGGGGGTTCTTTTTGTATTTTAGAACGAATGTTTATCGAGGTTGCGGTCGGTGCTATACAAGTCTCCCTAGTACCGGTACCGTATGCTGTCGAGTCGAAATTTTTCAATTGGGGTGTCACGAGAGTATGATGGATGACGGGGGGGGCCAGTGAAAGCTGTTAATTTATCTTGATTCCAATCATCCTGGTGGGCTGAAAGACGGCATCCCGCTCGGAACGAGATTACACTTCGAAACTGCCCGCCGTGTCACGCTAACCGACAAAGGATTCGGCATGGTCACAGCATATCACCCGCCGCCACGGTGCCACCTGGTGTTGAAAATGGCAGTTAAGTACCCGTAGCTCAGACTGGAGGCTACAGTGGTGTGCGTACCTCTCAGATGAGGACACGTAAGCAGTGAAAAGTTTTCACCTTATTTCTTTCCTATTTCTTTTCTTTTCTTTTCTTCTCAACCTTCTCAACCCTTAAGTCGACAACGAACTCCACTCCACACCTCTTGTATGAAACTCTCCTCACTCCTTGTTCTCTACTCTTCACACACATACAATACAAGGTTCCCTCATTACCATTAGAGCCAACTCGGTCCGCTGCGTAAAACCCACCTTTCAGTCATTACTGGTGCAACGACAACCAGTTTTATCCTGTCTGTCGTCCTCAATTTCCAACACCTGGGTACATAGCGCATAGCATGATGCGGTATACGGTAAACTTGCCAAATGGGAGTGAAAGATGCTGCAATTTTAACGAAGGAGTTGGACGAGCATTTACATACTGCATTCACACAAAAAAGAAAGAAAACTCAATCTGAGACTTTTAAATACAGAATCAACTGTACGCACAGCATCATGCACAACTCATACTCACTTCCTAACGCACCCCGTATTCGCCGTAATCGCGGATGGGCATGTAACCTTTTGAAAGGTGACGGCCGGGTTATCCGCGCCTTTGAACCACTACGACTCATTGTCAGCTCAACACATTTCCATCCAGTCACCGAAAGAGGGAGAGGTGGGGGGGGGGACATACGTCAAATCTCCAGTAACATCCCTGACGGATCGCCGCGGGAAGAGCGTCGCATTCGGACCTGGTCGAGACACCACCGTATCTAGAGCCCCAACCGTCGGCTGGTGCGTTATATTGCTTTGTGCACCCGTTGAAGACGCCGACCCCGCCGCCGGGGACTGGGTGTTTTTAGCTTCAATCTATATACACGATCTGGGGGGGGGGTACTTGAGATATCAAAGTGGTTGCTTCCAAGATCACCCCCGGTATTGGTTGCTTGGACTATCATCTTCTTGCCGGACACGGGGCTACACTAACGGTTGGCAATGACTTCGTGGTGGGAAATGGTTGGACGAAAAGCAGGTGACGTACCCAGATGTAAATGTAAGTTCATAACAAGCACAACACCAATCGCTCTCGCTAGCGCCAGAGAGTTTCACGGCGGCATATCTATTCCACTAGTCAGCTAAGAGACTCAAAGGGAAGGGGAAAGGTTGGCAGTGCCCATAAGCCAAACTATCCGAAACAGCCCACGGAATCTGGTTACTGCACATGAACGCTGTACCGCCGTTACAGCCAGAAGCGGTGTTCACGTCTGATAGTACTTTGTTATTCGCATCGCAGGCATTCACGGGCCAGGTGACGGAAGCCTTTCCACTCCAGGCACAACTGGGCTTGCAGCAATCCCAGTATCTAGTGGTCTGGCCAGTGGCGACTGCGGTCACCAGTGGGAGAGCGGCTGCCGCGAGGTAGAAGAGAAGGCGAATCATGTCTGGAAAGTGTAGTGGGTTGGTGGTCGAGAATGAAGAGGGAAATCATAGGAAATGCCGGACGGTTTATATACTCTCCCAGACCTCCCTCTCTATCCGACGTGGTTCACAGGTTCCATCTCGTGGCTTTTTCTCTCCTCTATTGAACACGGAAAGGCTCCCATCAGTGGCGGGACGACGACCCCCTTCCCAGCCTATGATCGCCTCTCTAGAAAGACGGCACTTCCAATCCCGTTGACATGCTCGGCCGGCAAATCCGCTGACCGGCCCTGAAGGGGTCCGCTGAAATCCCCTGATACACCTCCTGCAGGTACCCCGAAAGTTGTCTCAGGGCCAACGGTATTGTAATAAATTTCAAGAATCTGCCGCAAATGTAAGGCACATTCGACAAAAGAGGATCACCTACCGACAGCGCCGGGCGGTGAACTCTATTGGGTGGGCGTGTTTCTTAAAGGGCTACGCTGGGATTGATTAAGTTGAGAAAGTTTATCTTGTATAAGATGAGCAGATATGTTTGAGTGTCATCAGCAGCACCAGGGAGATGGATAAACGAACAGCTTTTGTTATGGTACTGACAGCCCTAGTATTGTGTTGTATATAGGAGCTTCATATGCTCCACTGGTCATTAGAGTGCGTTGAGGCTGAGTTGCGCTTAGATGAACTAGCTTGGTAGGGCTCCCCCTGTTGTAGGTTAATGAGTAGAACGGAGCGCACAAACGAGGGTCAATGCGTTGCACAGACAATTTCTTATTTTCGCTTCAGGGTAAATACTTATGTTAGGCTAAAAAGGTTTATAAGGTAAACAGGCAGGGATTGGATGGGCACATTTGCAAGAGTACCGGTAAACGGCTTGGTTTCCTACAGTCCCCGTGTACGGTACCTGACGGAAGTCTCGAAAGGTATCTCTAAGCTTCTGTCTTAGGCCCAGGTCATCTGACACAACAAAATATTGATCTTTAAAGCACAAAACTACAAGCCCCCAATGAACCCTGATGTTCCATATTGGTCAAAACCAGACCGGAGGTCATGTAGAGAGAAATTTTCCATGAGGAAATTGAGATGGAAGGTTTATCGGGTTGAGAAACCACTAATAACCTAAAACATGTAACCGTGGTTTACCATTTCCAATGGAGGGATCTTTCCACATCTCAGCCTTGAGGACCTCAACTTACCAATTTACAGTCCTTATACATCCACTATTGAAAGATATAGTTGCCCCCATTATTCTTGCAGCTTCTTGAAAATTCTCATCTGGGATTGGTAATGGGGGTGTGGGCCCCGAAAAATGGCTGTTTTTGGTATATAAAACTAACGACCCGAGTCCCCCGCCGTCCTACTGCATTAACCCTTCCACGAGACGACGGAATAGCCATTCACGAGCTGCTCGGTGGTGTCATATTCGCTATCCGTTAATGCCGATACAAGTGCGCCCCGATAGTGGCCTTCCCACCGTAAGAACTGGGATAATTGAGAGAGACGCTATCAGGACGTCCCGAATTACCCCTTTGGATTAGGTGGAGAAAAACAGCCACCAACTGAGACAAGTAAAAATAAGAGCTATTGTATTTGTAGCAGACCATACTAGGAGTGGCAACTCCAACGTCCTAGCGAGACTCTCCACTACTCCAGTTCTCACGGTAACGCAATTCATCCCCACACTAGTGATGGCGCTGATCATGGGCTTGTTCCACTTTGTTCCGTTAGATATAAACACAATGCGGATCTACTCGATTATGTGTCTTTCCACAGTCTTCTGCGGACAACTCCCCTTGGCGAAAAATGTCCTACGAGAGGTTTACCTGCCGTAGTGGATCTTTGAGCTTCAGTTAATACTGGATATCCTCGACTTGTGTTTCTATATAAAAGAAAAATAAGGCAGGAAGGAAGTAGAGTGCTGATACTTGACACAGTCGGGCTTGGTTAAATTGAGTTCCCATACGTCCATAGGTAGAGGGGGGGGTTCAACCCAGGGCTAAGTTCACCGAGTGCCGTGAACTCAAACCTGTTTGGGAAGCTTGGCCCGGTTTGTGGATCCTCGGTTTATTTTTTGTGCCCGATCGGATGGACTAAGGTTTCGATACCTTTTGAATTGCCGGGGATGGGTCTGTAGGGATAAATATCGGGGGTTGTCCGATGATGAGTTGTTGCAGAAAGGGTGATTGAAGGTGGCCCTTGGCGACAGGTTCACATTAGATCTGTTGCCTTCGCTGTTAAATTCTGACTGCACAGAGTGAGCAGCGATTTACCGGGATCCTAGGACAGAGCACCTCGGATTTGGAAATGATATTTCTAACAAGCTAGAAATAAAGCTATGAGTTGGCGAGGATACACGAGTTCTGTCAAGAAGCCTTCAACTCCCGCCCTTGTTCAGGAGATCCAATTGCGTGCTGAATCGAATTGCGAATTGCTCGCCCGCTGCTAGTAGTCCCCCTCCATTCAGTCAGCTGTGAACCCCTCCAGTGAGGAATACGACTGTGATACCTGTCACACGCTGCAATCAAAATTCTACCGGTAACTGCTTTGCCCCACACTCCCGGCTCCCCACGGGCGATTCGCTAGCAGCTAAAATATGCTGCAGGAACCAACAGAGGACTGTGATGGGTGCTATTTTGGCCTAGCGAGGTCCGTCTGTGGCAAAGTGCGGGGGTTTATTCTCCCCAACCCCAAACGTTGTGGTGAGAGGGTGTTTCGTGACAGGTGGAAACCTTACTGAGTAGGTACGTTTAAAAAGAAAAAGAAATTAGCCCGCGCACTTTGATCGTGATGTGCTGCTAGAGTGGGTCCCTATCACATGTCCAGTAAGAATAACATGCGGACTCGTAAGCGCACTCCTGCTGCAGATATACGAATACGCGGGGAAGAAGAAAAAAAAGTACCGCATCGAAGAGGCTGCTAACCTCTCCTGCCCGGGCTATGCCAATTGCCATTACCTGGTGAGAGATTGTGTCTCTCTGACTGCCGAGGCGTTTGGGGTAGTCGAGAACCGTGGTCAGGATGGCTTTCAACTTACCGGGCCACGAGGGACTACAGAAGGTACCGGGAAGTGTGTTCGGTGTTGCCAAAATTTTGTCCAACGATGGCGTTCTAATTGCCATTACGCTTCGCAACTTGGGATTGTAGAAAGGAAAAACCGTTGACATAGACATCAGAGATCACTCGAGTGTCATGTGAATGCGTGCGTTCCGGAGTAGGAGAGAAGAAGCTTGATTTTTCAAATACAAAGCGAGAAGAGATACTAATATGCTACATCGACTGAGCAGTCACACCGGACACTGTGTCCTATACTACATAGGCCACCTTTCCAACGTGACGCAGTAGTGATACCCTTATTCCGACATCCAACTACAAGAGTGCGGTAAACCACTTATAATTAGATCAGGCGTAGTCACAGATTGAGAAAACAAACAAGAGTCTTGTGACTAAAGGAAAGGAAAAGGAAACTACCTCTGTACGGCGGATAAGGACTAAGTCCAACATGTCATTCACGGCAGCGCTCGACTAGTTTCGCCGATGTCTTCTACCTTTTCTTGAACACCTCGGGTCACTTGCTCGAAGCGGAAAGGCTCACATGTCTTCAAGCGGGTTTCTTCTAATATACCATGTCGGAAGGGTGTAGCTACTGGACGTCCGCCGCGCGACCCCCAAATACGACGATCGGTTAAGAAGACTGTGATACTAAACACTCTCCTCCCTGTTCCGTCTTATAAACTTCATCCGGTTCTCCTCTTCTAGGCATCTTTCAGTCAATATGAATTACATCCGCGCAACAAATTTTTTCGCTTTTTACCCTTCCGCTCATCATAAGAGATAAGCGATTCACTAGCGAGGGAACATTATATGTCGATCAAAAAGTTTCCCATTGCTCCTTCCATTTACAGGTATGGATATCTATCGGGTAGGGATAATACAATCAACAATTTCTATATAATGAAAAGAACCTGAGGTGTTGCCACATAAACTCTATGATAATAGGGCTTTCTTCCCCGCGCCGAGCTCTATCAGAGGGACTCATCTGGCTAGGCTAGAAAACACCTAGGAAAAGGGCTCTGGTGGGGTTACACATGAGACTTCTTTCCTCTCTTCCTTTAACCGATCATGGCCAAGGAAAATTCCCTAACACAAATATTAGAGCTATTAGAAATAGCCAACACAGAAAGGGAGACGGTAACATTCTCAAGACGCCGTCAATCTTTGCTAAGGGTTGAAAAGAGATCTGAGAAAGCAGAGGGGAACCGGCCACGGTAATGAGCGTGTTTTTTATGGAACATATCGGTGTTGGGGCAAAGTAAGGAAACTCATGCCTCAATTCCCGAACCAAGGCGGGGTGTGGTTTAGGAGTTGGCAGTAGTTTATTAACTCTGTTATTCCTTTGTGCCCTCCCACAAAGCAAACTAAAGAGACGGTCGATCTCACGTGGAATGTGGGTGTTGGTATCCTCCCATTCTGGTGTGATTGATAGCAGCATCACCGCTCACTCGTGCCCTCCTCTCCGACTTTTTGGGGGCTGATATCTTGACGTCCCCCCCCCGTCCCCCCCATACCCCCTCATAACTCCGAACAAGAGGAGTGTTTGGCCGCGATTTTCTGGTCTGTCGGAGCCGATACTTACCTGTCCTAGTAATATTTTCATTGATCACTCATGTCCTTCCTCCGTAGCGTGCAAGATTATCTTCTCACACTAGAAGCATTATAGCTTCATTCCTATTTTGTGCCCCCCTCCGGCACCCAACAAGAGCGTGCCTGCCCGCGGCCGCCCCGCCTGCCGCGGCTGATACAACCCCGTTTCAGCAACAGCTTGGGCACCACTTCATGCCCTTTCTCCGCAGTCCACGAAAGTACTGTCTGGTCATAATATGTCTGGCTTGTCAGGATCAATCTCCCTGTGCCCCAATAGTGCTACAACCCCGCCATACCCTCACGCCCAGACACAACCGCCCACAGAAGTGATGCGACACCCGCGCAACCTTGCCGGCTGATGCCATAACCTTTCGTCTCTATAA